AGGCAGGAGCAATTGAAAAGAAAGTTTCCCCGTTGGAAAACTGAAGGTAACAAGAAAAAGAAGCCGTTCCACCGACCACAAATGAGAGCGCACGACCACCCCCAGAATGAAGAAGGGAGAAGTACGACGAATGCAAAGAGAGCCAGGAGAAATAACGGCAACTATAACCCGGCTCCCAAACGGAAGATCTACACATCGGACAGGAGTCTACGCAGCAAATGTCGACGAATTGCGGAAGGAACACCAGCTGCGGAGGCAAAGAAACAAAGAAAATTTGAACAGCCAGCAACGAGATCCAAGCAGGAACGAGAGAGAAGTGTCCCGGTTCCGCCAAGACCAGCTGTCATCAAACGGCCAAGACCACAGGCAGAGGCGAAAAAGAAGGTATTCAAGGGTGACCGAACTGGAGGAAAAAGAATGCTTCTAGAGGAAGAAACTGAAGGGCGAGCCCGCACAAGAAGGAGGATAAATTAAACAAGAATCTTCGCTACCTTCCAGGACTGGGCAGAGAAAAGAATGTCCGAATATCACAAAGATAAGTAAAATTTTATGTTACTTTGAAACCTTAAGTTAATCTTTCATTCTTACTGCAAGTGGCAGAATTCAAGAACGTTTTACCTCATGTGAGGTCTACCTTTATCGCCAAAAGGCGAGAAATGAGTTGTTACCTATTTTGGTATTATGTTTTCAATTACTCGCGAGAAAAACTAAATTAATGTATAATAGGAATGTGTAAATACTTGAATATTGTAAAAGTTATTGTATAAAATTTTATTTAAAATATTCTGGCAAGAAAGAAGTTTTGAAATGTAGTATTTCAATGTAGAAGAATTGGCACTTGCTTGGAAAAGAATAGAAGTTAACAATGTACTACTAATGTATGTTTTAAAATACGTAAAATAACGGCATGTTAATATGTCCTTATATACAATGTGAACTGTTATTTTAAACGTTAAGAAATACTGTGATATGTTAAAAGTGAAAGTAATGCCAAAAAATTTTAACTTATTCGTGTGACTGTAAAAAGAGAAAATTATTGTGAATATGTGTTAAAGGTTGAATGAATGTAGTTAGGCTCTCTGACGCTACACTTCAGAGTTAGCCACTTTCAGAATAGTACCTCAGGGTTTAGAGATGAATATAAGGTGTGTTATGAGGTCTTGTTATGTTGAATTTTAACACGTTAGTGTTTTGATTGCAAGCGGTAGTGTTGAACACTTGTACATAAACACATTCGTGTTTGGTGTTTTCTTTTACAACACATGTTAGAGAGCACGGGGAGAGAATTAAATAACGTCATGAATGAAATAAGAATGATAAGAGAAATATAAGTATTCATGTTACTTGCCATTTAATTGTCTAACATTTCATTAAACTAGTTTTCCTTCCAGATCTCTGGAAGGAACCAGATTTCAACTAAGAACTCCTGTTTAGATGCAGTACAGATGAAAAGTAATTGTCCATGGAACTGATAATGTAAAAACGACTTTTTTTTAATTTCTAGTTTCTAGTGAGAAATGTTTGTAAAAGATTGGCCTCGCGTTAGATTCTAGAGCTAAAAGTTTTCAACAAGGTCGTTTTAGACCTCAGTTTCAAACTAATTAACTCTGGCGGGAAGTATGTAAGGATCTTAAGTTTTACTAACGTTTATTTTATTTTAAATCTTTACTATCACTTCTTATTTTCTACTTCCGGCCAGAATTAAAAGCTTTAACTTATTTATGCAAATTTGTCTTGCGAACGCCAAGTACTTAAGTTGTGGCTTTTTGCCAAGCAGGGAGAGGAAGGAGTGATTAGGAGCAGGCCGCTTGCCACAGCAGTTTTACTCGGTTGCTGGTTGCCTTCAAGGCCAGAGATTTAATCCTCTTGATAATTTTAAGCGTATTGTAGTGTTAGCAGTTCTCTGTACTACATACGGCTTTCAGTTAATATACGGCCAATCTTCAAGTAGGCACTTGTTTATTAATCCAAAGTTAGTTTAGTTATAGTTAATATTTTTATATTCTTACGTTCAGACCACAAGTGGTTGGTCTCTGTATTCCGAAGTCCGGAAATCATTGTAAAGAGAGAAAAATAAAGGGTTTCGTATACCCTTCTTGTGTGTATTGTCTACTTCCCACATTTATTGAACATAGCTTTAGTAAGCTCCCTGTTCCGAGTCAGGTCATTTAATGTTCCCAAAGCAAGTAAGGAGGAACATAGAACCTGATAAATGTTAAACCAAATGAAAAATCGTGTTTTTTCGATATTCTGACGTCATCGAAATCTAGGAGTTCTGGAAAGTTTAACTGAGTTGTATTTCAAAATTCGAGATTGATTCTCGAGAAATTCTCAAAATTCTCAAGAAATTCCATATTTTTAAACATAATATTTAGTTGAAACGAGACATGCCCTTAGGAATAAGAAGGAAAATAAGGTTAAATCAAAGTAAACAAAATGAAGACAAACTAAAATTTGAGGTAATTAAAATTTATTTTTATTTTGTCTTTAAATTAAGCTAAAAGCATGGTACCATTTGTTGAGCAAACATGGAGAATTTTCATTAAAACATGAGATTTTAACACATACAAGTACTGATAATACATCCATGGATATACATGTTCCATGAGACCTCTGTCGAATCAAATTCCAGAAACGGAGTTCTTACTCATTTCGAATCTGACGTCGATTTTGTGCAAAAATTGTGTACTTTTCAGTATTTCAGAATTCGTTGTTATTTTGATTGGTGCCTTCTAAATATTTATTTCCTTATAATATGAACTGAAATAACCAATAATTGCTTTCATAAACGTTAATACTCCGGTAACTGATTATTCCCATTACTGACATCAAACTATATAGCACATTTAAGAATATCAGAATCAGCATGTATTATGCAGATGCTGATAGTTGAAGTAGATTTAAAGATTTTATACATATATATATATTGTCTACACATATTTAGATATATGTAGAGAGAGAGAGAGAGGAAAAAATGTAAGAAAAAGGAAGCGATATATATATGTGGTAATTCGCTCCTATAACTCATCCTCCTTTTCCTAAATCTGGCAACAGCGACAACAGCGAGATACTTCTTCAAGCTGTGTGAAGAAAGGGACAGAATTGCATTCCGATGAGGTTAGAACACGGTGATGGATGCAGCTGAACTATGCCGCTCAAGAACATTGATTGATGAAGCGATTCTGTTTCATGATGAACTTTTTATCTTACTTCCTTTCACACTGTAAATAACATAATCATGTTTATTCTTTCATCATTAAATACCCTTAAAATGCTACTGCCTTCCTCTATTTTAATCCTAACCTCATCCTACATGGGGACTCGGCCCCGCGAACTCTTTCGACTCCTTGATTTAAAATCTGTTCTTCTCTTCAGCTTTTTAAATCCTCTAGACTACCATATTACATATCCAATATACCTATAAATGATGTACTACTGTGGAATAATATCGCAAGATTAAAGTTGTTGTGATTCGTCAGCACGTAAGTAGAGCTAATTTTATTGATGAAGTATTGCTAATCAGGAAGTAATATTCAAGTTATGATGAACATTTGAGGACGCCTTTTTATGAAGTTTATTTGAAGAAGCGAAAGGTATTTGATTTTGATGAAAATTCATTTATTTTTGAATGATTATTACTTTGAAGAATTAACACTTCCGTTTTCGAATTTGATGTTGATGATAATTAATTAAACAGTTTTGATGAAGTTTAATTGAATAAACTAAAGGTATTTGATTTTGATGGAAATACATTACTGACTATTTACAGAATTGTGATATATTAAAAAAGTTACTTTGAAGAATTACTTTCGTTTTCGAATTTGGTGCATAAATTTCTTATTTTTTGTGATGCTGATATTTTACAAGAACTGTACAATATTATTTGAAGTTATTAATTTTGATATCGTATCTTAACGTGCAATTCTATTTTTCATTCCTAACATAGTCTTATATGAAGATTTGTTTGACGATATATTTTACCATTTGTTTGAATCATACGTTCACAATTTCATTTATGATTTTTAAGTGTTTTAACATCATAGTTATTGTGTAATATACTAAGAAGAATTAATATTTTTGTGAAGAATAAGAAAAATTAAGAATATATTTTGGTATGCTAATTTCTGATAAATATTTAATACCAGATACATATTTGATGAAATCGAAACATACATATTTTGTGAATTTCATATTTGGTAAAAACAAAACTGATAAATAATGGCTACACTTAACGATTATCCCAACATTGCACAGTCATTAAACACTGCCAGTACAAAGCATATCAAGCTTTTACATCGTTTAGTTTTTGGCTCAGATGGTGATCGGCAGAATCGTGCTAGGTTACGCAATTTTTCTGGTTTTCCCAAACCATTTAACTTTGAAGAAACGAAACAAAAAATTATAAAAGAATTTTCTCTTGCGGAATTAATTTCCATATGTAGCGTACTGCATTTAGAATTTTCCACCGATATTGAAAACTGTGCTAAAATATTCTTACGAATCTAGCTGATGTATCGTTATTAAAATCAGATTCCGCTGACTACAGCGACCTTGAAGAAGACGCTTTGGTGCATAGTTCACCCTCGACACATAGCGTCGCCTAAAAGAACATTAATCACACTCCTGATGAATCTTTATGTAAACAAATGAAGGCAAAAATCTCTCTTGAAAGTGCGCCTGAAAATTTATTGGTATCAACTAACCCGCAAACACAGACTGTTCCGTTTCAATGTTTTGGCTTAAATGACATTGTTGATTTAATCAAACCCTTTTCCTCTCGGGATAATTACAGCGTCGAAACTTTTATTTCTGACATAGAAGATATTTTTAATCTCTATGAGATCACGAATCCTGCACACCAAGTAATTTGTGTTAAAAAATGTCTTACAGGTCCAGCTTTAATAAGATCAATTCGTGGAATTACTAATTGAGAACAATAAAAACACCATTTATCAGATGAATTTTCGGAAAAAATTAATAGCCTTCAATTACATAAAATAATGGAATCTCGTCACATGAAAACATCTGAAACCTTACAAGAGTATTTTTTAGCTATGGGAGACCTCGCATACAAAGGTTCTATGGATGATTCTTCTTTGATTGAGTATGTGATACATGGTATTTCTGATTCATCAAACAACAAAATAATTTTATACGGTTGTAAATCCATTCTTGAATTTAAAGAAAAACTGAAGATTTATGAAAAACTCTTTAACAATTCAAAACATTTGAAGCAAAATACTCCAAAGAAATTTACAAATTCCTTTCCCAATGTTAAAATTGATGCTAAACGTATCTCATACACTCAACCAGTATGTTATTCTTGTGGTTTAAAAGGTCACAAAAGCAATACTTGTCCAAATAAATCTAACGGCAAATTATGTTATGACTGCCAAAATTATGGTCACGTTCATTCCAACTGTCCCAAACGTTCTGGTAGTTCTACCATGGAATCTGGCAATTGTTCTACATCTGATAGTACTGTAAATGCACTTTCCACTCAAAATTTTTCTAAACATCCGATGCATGTTGATATTCAACTTAAAGGAACTCAGTTAACTGCTCTCTACGACACTGGTTCACAAGCAACACTTATTACGGAGAAAACATACCGCAAAATTGGTTCTCCACCATTACATCCTTCCAGAATTACATTCTCAGGACTTGGCCGAGACACAGTTCAAAGTATTGGATTCTTTCAGGACTACATTCAAATTCAAAACATTATTTTACCTGCTAAAATCCATGTAGTAAAAAACTATATGATTCATCTTGATGCCATTATAGGAATAGACTTTTGCAACAAACTCAATTTACATTTGATAAAGATGGTGTTCATTTATGCAACAATAATAATGATCAAATTTTTGCTAATGTTGCTAATGTCAGTGATGATCAGACATTTCCACCTGATTTTTCACACATCTCAAAATCTGAAATTCGCGAGGAAGTTCAACATATCATTACTCCTCACAACCCACACGAACTTAACACTGCTATGGAAGATTTTCAGAAAATAACAGAAAATGATGATGCTGCACATGACGATTTAGAATTGGATTTAGATGATGATAATTTGGATTTGGATCATCACGATGACAAAGATGATGCTGATACCAATCATGGAGCTCATGACGATGATGATGACGATCATGTTGATGAAGATGGTGATGACGCAGACGACGACATAGATCAAGATCATGATATTGATGATGACGACAATCATAACGCTAATGGTGCTGATGATGATGATGGCACTCATGAAGCTAATGAAGATAGTGATAATGATGTTGATCAAGATGACGTTGCTGTTGTTGATGAAAATCATGCCAATGAAGATGATGTTGATGACAAAGAAGATGATGATAATGACAGTCATAAAGCTAATGATGATGCTGATGTCGATAATGATCCAAACGTGCAGAATAATCAAGAAACTGAAAAATCTACTGAATCAGTTTGAACAAGCATGTGATAATCAAGCAAACGAGAAAAACCTGCTAAAAGTGCATAAATTCCCAACGAACAGAAAACTAATCTAAGGAAACAACTTGTCTCTGACATTCCAGTTGAAGCTTTTGAGGCAAAAAAGAATGCTGAAATATTTGGAACGACAAATTACTGTTTCATATTCTTTATTTACTTCACGCCCACAAGAAACGCAACAGAAGAGAGCCTGGAAATATAAACGAAGAAAATTTAAACGAACTTCCAAAGACAATGAACATTCCTGACACGGCAATGATGATGAAAAAGCTGCATTATGCATTGAAGGTCAACGGAACCTCCTCCGTTTACAGCAAGCACATATACGACAGTATAAGAAACGTCACAAACCTGCCTGCAAATATAAACTTGGACACCAAATGCGAATCCAGCCTGAACTGAAACTTCCACTTGGACTGAATCTTCGACTAGAACTGAAACTTGGACTTCGTCCCAAATTTTTCGGTCCTTATGAGACAGTCCATCCCTCTGGTTGTTACGAAGTACGAAAGATACGCCATGACGACACCATTATTATGTCAACCTGTACTGATAAGATGAACCGGTGGTGCACAAAGCTAACATTCGCCACCTGGACATTGATTTTTTTTTTCAATTTCTCTGCTTTTTGTTTTTTTCTTTCTTTTCAGGTCAACCCCCAGGCGAGGACGCCCGGCAAGACAGAATGGCCGTGTGGTAATTCGCTCCTATAACTCATCCTCCTTTTCCTAAATCTGGCAACAGCGACAGCAGCGAGATACTTATTCAAGCTGTGTGAAGAAAGGGACAGACTTGCATTCCGATGAGGTTATGATGTGACGGTGATGGATGTAAGCTGAACTATGCCGCTCGAAGAACATTGATTGATGAAGCGATTCTGTTTCATGATGAACTTTTTATCTTACTTCCTTTCACACTGTAAATAACATAATCATGTTTATTCTTTCATCATTAAATACCCTTAAAATGCTACTGCCTTCCTCTATTTTAATCCTAACCTCATCCTACATATATATATCATAAAGCAAGAAATTTAGAAGCAAAATTTCACAAAGACCAGAAACTGAAATTCACAATTTACAAATAAACATATAAATGCAACAATTAATTAAAAAATGCCAAAACCAAAACATTCCAAAAAGGCTAAGCCCCTTTTCAAAAACCATACTCTTTAATTCTATTTATTATAATATTATGTTATAACTCTTAGACGCGGTTACAATTATTATAATATAAAGGAATTGCTTTGCTTTTATTCCAATTTACTAATTAATTTAGATGCTTCAAGTTTATATATATATGAAATAACACTGAAACGTTGCATTCAAATTATATATATATTTTTGAATTTAACAAATATTGTCTATTATATTCTTTAATTATTTATTTAACTTTCCTACATGATTAATTTTAGAAGACATGATTAAATTTGCAAGCATGTTGGAGGTTTACAGAGGTGAGAAGTTAGTAGAAACAGCTGCCAACCGTGGCAGCTAAAACGACCTTTACATTAGGCATTATATATAACTGGGCTTGTATGACGGAAACGGGCAATTCATTCCATGTTCCTTCAAGGCTGTGCCACAATTGATCAACCGTATTAGCTGGAGAGAGATGGCGAGGCAGTCTCTCAGCAACCCAGGACAAGATGTTTTTAATGGGTGACTGATCTGGAGACCCTACAGGCCAGGGCAGCAATTGAATGCCCTGTGTATCGATGAAGGTCAGCACACAGCTTGCAATCTTGCATTATTTTTGGAAGATGGCTTTTGGCAGCTCTCGAAAATAGGGCACAACCAAAGAACATAAGTTGTCAGAAATGTACCGATCTGCATTCAAATTACCATCAATCCCAACTAGAGATGTACCCAATGGCTGCCAAAGCCATCACACCAGGTGAAGGGCACCTATGCCGACATCGAATACAAGCAGGCGACATGTCTCCTTGGAGCCTCCACATACGTATACGGCTAACAGAATACTACACGCAAAACCGGAACTCGTCTGAAAAGACGACCTTGTGCCAATCCTGTATGCAGCTTTGTCGTTTGAAGCACCAGAGTCGTCGTCTCTCTGTAGGCTTCATTGTCAAGGGAAGTCGAAGTAATGATCGTCTTGCATGTCAAGGGAAGTCGAAGTAATGGTAGTCCACACTGCTGCAAACGTCGACACTCAACATGCCCCTTTCCTGACTAATGGTCCGTGATGTTGTACGTTTTGCAGGGCTGAACTCAAAATATGAATATCCTCTCTGGAATTAGATAAGGGAGGGCGTTGACATCCTGCATGCCGTTCAGTATGACCCTCAGCAATCCATTGATTCTACATTCGCATGGCAATGGTTGTCTAGCAGTACGACGGGCGATATCATGGAACGATAATCCACACTCTCGATGGGCAACGATCCTGTCTCTATCGGATTCAGAAACATTTCTTCTTATTATTATTCGAGGCATAACACGATATTCTAAGCAAACTACAACCTTACAAAGCACTTTCCGAAAAAGAAATCTACTACACAACATTTCGTTTATGCAGTGATTCAGATGTCGTTTCTCCCTCCTGCGTCATCTAGTAAATGCGCTGAATTACTAATCATTTGCATATCCCAACTTCTTCTTCCTTTCATGTCATTTTGACGTTCTTCAGATCATTTCTTCCTGGTGTCGCAATTTGAACGGTCAGAATTGTATTTTATGAAGCACAAGTAAGAATAATAGAATCACTAAGTTTACTATCCACATTCTCATGGCCTCGAACACGCATAAATAGAGACATGAATAGACAGATAATATAGGAAGTTTATCTCTAAAGCATACAATGAATCAAAGGCAAACTTAAACATTTTTTCGTGCATCTAGCTTTGTGCCGACGCTTTAGTTTTTTCGATGTATATTTTTATTATAGTACTTAATGTCGCCCAGACGTTATGGTGGTTAGGGGAGCCTAATATCGATACCGAACGACCCGGGTTCGAATCACGGTAAAGGCATGAATATGAAACTGTCTGTCTTTTCATAGGAGGTAGCGGAGGCCGTCTATTTAGGTGCCTTCACAATAAAATGGCCACCACTTCTGGCCTTAGTAGTGACCAGTGCCGTTATAGGCAAGTGTCCGCCATTGGGAAAAAAAAATTACAGTACTTAATTCCCTTCAAAGTGTTCTCATATGTATATAAATCATTTTCCCTTAAATCTTCCACCAAGACATCCCCTCCTAAATCTGATAATCTTAATGTGAATTTACTGTGATCTCCACTAACTACACTAGCTTAGGATACATGAAACCTGATTCTTGAATATGACAAATTACAAAATAATTCTTAACAAAAACTTCGAACAGCATCTCATTCAGTGATACCATGAGTAATGTGAAAAAGATTATGATAATAACGTACTAACAAATTTTAATCAATAAATTTCCAGAAACCAAAATGCTAGAAATAGCTCTCAAACAAAATCTACGATTACTGATACCATTAAGAATGGCGAAAAGAGTTTGATTATGACATCGGAAAGAAACTCATTTGAAAAGTTTATATTTAAACTTTTGTCCAATTACTTATGGTTTAACATCTTTTCTGATCTTCTGCCGATTGCTCATAAATTAATTAAATTTCAGCTTTGGAGAATTAGGCTTCTGTAATTTTCAAAATGAGAAGCTAGGAGATACAACGTCTTAATGAAAGAAATTGTGCATTCTAAATCCGAAATTCACTTTTAAAATCTACTTTAAATGGAGCATTATCCAAAAAGCAATATAATGGAAAAGGAAAAAATTTTAATCTGAAGAGAGATAGGGAAATAAAACTTCGAGGAATAAAGAAAACACTTTAATTTTTATAAAAGTTAAAGAGTTTTCTTAGGAAGCCGAACAATAGATATTTAGAAACGTGAGAAATAATTGCTTAATTAGGGCACTTAAGCTTGCATTAAACGCCGGTGAATATTTAAATAAGAGTGCTAATTCTAAGGCATTCGGAACCGTATTTATTAAAAATATTTATGATATAGTAACTGTAAGTAAATTACAAAAGATAACAAAAAGAAAAATCGATCTTCCTTAGATTCCCATAAATACTTCACTTTGCGGGAACACTTTTAAGTATTATCTTTATAAAAATGCAGTATTTAATGGAATCTTATATTTACCATAGTTTTTCGTAAGTTAGTATCTGAAGGAAACTCAACTAAAATTCCGCGTTCTGCAACCCAGTTCAAAGCATCACGATGCGAGTCTTACAATGCTGGATTGCACTAAATTAGAACTTCTTAAATAATAAATAATCAAGAAATTCAAATTATTAAACAGTATGTAGCAGAAAAATTTTAACACTTGCTTTGAATATTATATTTAAATTGAAAAACGCTTGCTTTTAGAACGAAAAATTGAAGAAATTTAACCCGGCGGAAGTCGCACCAAGAAAAGTTATTAGAGTGGGCGCGTGGGGTATCACATACCCTAATATTTAAAATATGATAAAAATAGTTTTATTTAGTTTTAAAGCTGTTTTTCTTGTTCTCGTGTATTATAAATGTGTGAATAATAATTGGGTTTCAAAAAATTAATTTCCAAAATAATCTTAGAGTTCAAATTAAGATAAATGAAAATAATAAAAAATAAACATCATGCCTCTAAGTTTCATTGCATCTTTAATAAACAATGCTTATTTTATTTCTTTACACTTTGTACAAAATAAATTCATGTGTTCTTGGCACAGAATGTTTTCACATTTTAAACATTGCATTCACGTTCTTCTGTCCTTGGCGCGATTACAATGAAAGTGAATGCCTTGCAAATTTATCACATCTTTCATATTTAGTTGTTTCGAATTTCATGTATTCGTTTTAATTCTTCTTCGAAACTTCTGCTTTTGTTTTGCATGTAGTACGTCAGTTCCTTGGTAAAGTATTAATCTCTGATCTTTGTTCAATACTTTTTTCATTAATTGTAATGCTAAGTCCTTCAAAAACAGAC